CGTGGCCCCCCGTCTCCGCGAGCCCGCAGACGTGGGGCGGCGGCGCGTTCGACGGGATCTGGAGCTGGTCGAAGCGGTGCGCGTACGTGCACGCGTCGCCGCGCGGGCAGCGCCGGCCGGCGACGATGTTCGGGCAGAGCGCCTTGCAGAAGTTGATGCGCCCCCAGTCCTTGGGCGCCGTCTTCTCCCGCGGCGGGCCGCCGACGAACGTCGGCGCCTCGCCCTCGGCGGCGCCGTTGCCAGTGCCGTCGATGATGCGCTCCGCGAGGGCGTCGACGTCGTCGTCGTCGACGGCGGGGCCCTCGCTCGGGCTCGACGACGACGAGTCGTCGTCGCCGCCGTCGCTCGGGTCCCGCTCCGCCCCGGACCGCGACGCGAGCCGCTTGCGGAGCGCGGTCCGGAGCTTCTTGCGCACGCGGACGTAGGACATGAACCGGTTGTTCTTGTAGTAGGTGTCGAACATGTAGACGCAGTAGGACTCGAACTCGTCCTCCTGGTCGAGCTCGTCGGCGACGTCCGCGTCCGACGGCCGCGGCGCGGGCGGCGCCGGGCTCGAGGACCGCGGCGCGTCCTCCGGCGCGACGCCGTCGATCTCCGCGAGGGCCGCGACGTCGTCGTCGGACGTCTCGGACACGGCGGGCGCGAGCTTCTTGGGCGCCACGGAGAGCGTCGCGCCGTCCGCGACCTCGTCGCGGACCGCGCCGGCGCCGACCTCGCGGCCGCTACCGACGTCGACGAGGCAGTAGAGGCCCGGGTCGGGGGCCCGGAGGCCGGGGAACTGGGCCTGGTAGGCCTTGAAGAAGTGGGCCACGAGCTTGCGCGTCGGCTTCCCGAGCCAGCTCGCCGGCAAAGTCAGCGTCAACCCGAAGGGATCCCAGTCGTCCTCGTAGTACTGGAGGCTCACGGTCTTCATCTTTCAAGTCGCAGCGGTCTGCCCCGCGGGCCCCGGCCCGAGCGAGGGCCGGGTCACCGGGTCGACGTCGCGCCCGGGGGCGGGCCCATCAGCCGCCGTCACTGGCTGAAGGCGTCGCAAAGGCGACTTTTCCGGACTGAGTGGCGTCGGCTTGGCCAATCTGATGAGCTCTTTTAGTTTCACAGTTGCTCTCTCTTCATCTTCACCTTACGAAGCGCGCTTTCTCGTTCAACAAAGACGTTTGCTCGTCTAGACGAAAGGATGATGGCGGCGAGCCGCCTCGTCTGGGCGGCGGCCCTCCTGACGGCCCGCGCGCTCGAGGACAAGGCCGCTGTCGAGCGGTGCATCATGGATCCGAGCACGACGTGCGACGTTTCAGCTCCTTGTCCCACGACCCCCCCCGCCCGCGACTGCCTCCGGGCCGCCGTGCCGTTCCGGTCGCCCTACGTGCGCCTCGAGTGCTGCTTCCGCTGCTGCGTCAAGCACTGGCTCCAGCGGGCCGGCCTCCTGCAGAACGTGGACTACCACGTGAACCACCTCCGCGAGGTCGGCTTCCAGGCCGGGGGCGCGTCCCCCGACACCGCGGACTACGGCGTCGACCCGTACCTCAACCTGCTCGTGCACCCGCACGCCTTCAGCGCCATCAGCCACGTGAAGATGCACCCCCACATGGGCTGCCAGATGACGGACCGCAACGCGAGCGACCTGCCGTTCACGGTCGTGTCCATGTACCAGTACGACGCGAACGTCGTCGTCATCCCCAAGTTCAGCGACCGCATCTCCAAGGAGCCGTCGCCCTACGCGCCCTGCGTCCAGGCCATGCGGAGCGCGAAGAAGCTCGTCATGGACGTCTGGCGCCAGGCCAAGTTCGCGCCGGAGCCGGGCGTCTACGACCAGATGACGCTGTACCTGGCGAACAACATCGGCAACTTCACGTACCCCTACTGCCCCAACGCCGGCACGAAGTGCTTCGAGCGCGAGGCCGACGCCTACCGCCGCTTCCGCGAGCGGGTCATCGGCGTGCGGGCCGTGAGCCTCTGGCAGGCGACGCTCCGCCACGAGCACCTCCCCCAGGTGCCGCGGCAGCAGCGGCTCTTCCTCTGCTGCTGCATGAACATCGACTCGAAGCACAACGGGCCCTTCGGGGGGTCGCGCACGGAGAAGCTGCGCACCGTCGCCGCGCACCCGGAGTTCCGCTGCCCGATCCCGATGACGCCGAAGCATCTGGGGCCGCCCGTCGACGTCGCGCCGCACCCCATCGAGCAGGAGCTCACGCGCTACTTCGCCGAGTCGGCGAAGACGGACAAGACGCGCTACGCGCCCCACAGCGGCAAGTTCGACGTCTCCATGCCCGTGCTCCTCCACGGCGCGAAGTTCGTCTTCAGCCCGAACGGCATCGGCGAGCAGTGCTACCGCGAGTACGAGTCCATGATCTCCGGCGCCTACCCCCTGGTCGACGAGTCCTGGTGGTACCCGCGGCGCCACCTCCTGGCGTCGCTGCCCGTCGTCACCGTGAGCGACTGGGAGGCCGTCACGCCCGACTTCCTCGAGGCGACGTGGGAAGCCATGGAGGCCAAGTCCTACGACGTCGCGCCGCTCTACCTCCCCCACTGGTACGACCAGATCCTCACGGCCGTCGGCGTGTAACAACCGCTTATGCCCCCTCCTTCTTCTCGGACTCGGCGCCGAAGGCCTCGAGCACGGACGCCTGGAGCTTCATCTGGCTGTAGATCATCGAGTCGAGGAGCGTGTTGTCCTCCTTCTCGCGCACGGTGCACTCGTCCTCGAGCTGCGTCCGCAGGGCCACGATGGAGTTGTGGGCCGCGCTGTTGTGCCGCTCCTCCGCGCGGTCGTCGAGCCGCTCGACGTCGTCGATGTCCTCGCCCAGCACGGTGAACTTCGCGCGCCGCGTCGCGCGCTCGTCCTCGAAGGACTGGGCACTTCGCTGGACGTGCTTGTCGAAGCGCACGGTGATCTTCTGCTCGCGCTTCAGGATCTTCGCGTTCTCGATGTCGAAGGTGTCGTGCGCCTTCTGCAGCTTGCGCGCGACGATGCCGCTCTGGCGGTCGATGACCGTCGGCACGGTCACCTTGACGAAGTGGTCCACCTCCGTCTCGGACGCCGTCATGCGCTCCTCCTGGGCGGGGATGAGGTCGCCGTGGAACTTCTCCATGACCGCCATCAGCGCGCCCTCCTCGACGGCCGCGGCTTCCGCCAGCGCGCCGTCGAAGTGGGCCAGCAGCGCCGCGTGGGCCCGGTCGCGCTCCTCCGTCTCCACGCGCAGCTTCGCCTCCCAGCGCCGGCCCCGCGTCTCGATGGCGTCGAGGTGCTTGTAGAGCTCCTGGTTCCGCGCCTTCGTCGACGCTTCCAACACCGACATCTGCTCGAGTAAAGCGTCCTGCTGGCCGGAGATGGGCTTCGCGCGCTTCGTCTCCGGCGCGTCGGCGACGGGCGCGCGCGTGACGTGCACGGGCGAGTACATGACCGTGCCGTCGGGCCCGGCCTCGAGGCGGTAGGCGCCGGGGGCCGCGACGTCGAACTCGGTGGTCATCACCGGCATGTCCCGGCGCCAGCGCGCCGTGTCCCCCGTCACGTCGAAGTCGCCCTTCGGCGCCTGCTGCATGGCCATGGCGTCCGACCCGCGGCCTCGGGTGGCCGCCGCGAGGCGACGCGAGGCAGCCCAGCAGCGCGTTGACAAAACCGGTCCGGCCAATGGTGCGCGGCACCGTGCACAAGGGATACGCGGGCAGCAGCCTCCGCAACGCGGGCGTCCATCGGAGCGCGCTGCTCCTCGTCCGACGCCGCCATGTTCCACGATGACAACCTCGGTGCGCCGCCCCCGTTCTTCCCGAACCCCGAACCCCGTGTCCACCCCCGCGTCGCCCAGGCCTCGCCTTCATGCGCAAGCAGTTCGAGAAGGAGGAGAAGCGCGCCGGCGTCACGTCGTCGACGGCCGCCAACTCGCTGAACATGGGGTCGGCGACGAAGCTGCGCAAGCCGACGCCGCGCACGACGTCCTGCGACGCCGTGTCCCTCAAGACGACGTCCATGCCCGCGGCGCTCGCGCCGCCCTATTTCGTGCGGGCGGAGGGATCGCAGCCGGCGACGCAGCGGTCGGACGCGCCCGTGTCGTCGCGGTCCGCCCGGCCGAGCGCGCGGGACGCGCCGGCCCTGGGCAGCTCGCGCATGGTCTCGGCCCGCGAGCTCACGAACCGGTCGTCCTACACGCAGCGGAGCGCGCGGCAGCCCACCGGACGGCCCGCGGACACGGGCCGGAGCGACGACATCCTCGAGACCGTGCGCAGCGACTGGGACACGGCGCGCGTGGAGAAGAAGCTCGCCAAGCTCATGGACGAGAAGCGGTCCATCATGGCGCGCATCCAGGAGGTCGACGACGCCCTCGAGCTCGAGGAGACGAAAAAGCGCACGTCGGGCTTCGGCCGCCGGGGCACCGCGTCCAAGTACCCCGCCGGCACGTCCTTCCGCTGAGAGGGGTCTTTACCCCCCGCGTGAGACACTAAGACGACGCTTAGACCGGCGGCGGCGCGAACCCGGGCTGGAGCGACGGCCGCCGGCCGCCCGTCATGGGCCGCATCTCCGTCGGCGCGCCGCGGAGCGCGCGGGCCGGGTCCGGGTCGAGCTTGACGCCCTCGCGGTAGGAGGGCCGCTTCCGCGCCGAGTAGCGCACGGGCGCTTCTCGGGAGGTGCGGCGGCTCGCGCGCTTTGCCTTGCCCAGGGACGCGCGCGGCGCGAAGGACGCCTGCGACGCGCGCTTGCCGGAGGAGAAGAAGTTGCGCTGGAGGATGTTCGACAGGGAGAAGCGGTAGTGCCCCTTTTTGTGGGATTCCACGTGGTCGCCGTTCTCGCCGTTCTCGACGAGATGGCCGTGGTCTAAGTGCACAAGGCGATAATTGTGGTTGATGTCCTCGTCGTCTAAGAGCTCCTCCTCCTGGTCGAGGAACGTGCGGTACAAAGGCGTCTGCGCGTCCTCCTCGTCGATCATGTACTCGCTCTCCGCGTCCACGGACGGGTCCAACGACCGCAGATAGTCGAGCCGCCGCTCGGAGATCGCGCGGAGGTAGTCGCCGACGACCGGCAAATCCTCCAGAATCTTCACGAGGGCCGGGCCCGGGATCGCGTAGGTCGACGACGTCTCCTTGACGCGGATCGTCGCGGACCGCGACCCGCCGGAGAGCACCGCGCCCTCGCCGAAGAAGGAGCCGTCCGCGATGACGCGGACGACCGTGTTGCCGACGCACTTCAGCAAGATTTCCAGGATGCCCGAATCCACGAAATAGACCTCGGCCCCCTGCTCGCCCTCGTGGAAGACCGTGTCGCCCGTGAAGAAGAGGTGCGGCTCCAGCGCGAGCGCCACGGAGTGGAAGAACCGCGGCGGCGAGTTCGACAAGAGCGGCACCTTCTCGAGCAGCCCCCGCGTGTTGTGCGTCGAGATCTCCTTGCGGAGCTCCGGGTTCAGGTTGTTCAAAATGTTCTTCTCGTTGAACATGCGGCCCTCGGAGAAGCGCAGCTGGAAGTAGCCGCGCACGCGGTCCCGTAAAACCGGCGGCAGCCGCTTCGACCGCATGTACTCGTTCGTCGCGTTGAGCTGGTCCTGGTAGGACCGCCGGCTCAGGTTCGCGTTGACGATGATCGCCGACATGTTCGACACGAGTCCCGCGTAGAAGAGCGTGCCGATGTAGAGGCACAGGATCGTGAACCACGACTCGATCCGACAGAACGACCGGAGGCTCTCGCACGTCATCGACGTCAGCGGGTAGCCGTAGGCCTCGCCCGCGAGCAGCACAAAGGCCTTGTGGAGGCACCACATGTACCGGTTCGACACGGACATGAGCGGCTTCCCGTCCTTGCGCATGAGCCCCGCGGCGACGACCCACGACTCCTTCGGGTAGCTCCAGAGCCGCGTGAGCATGTACAGGATGCAGCCCATCCAGTGGGCCAAGATGAAGAGAAATATAAAAAGGTTGAGCATGCGCACGGCGCTGTCGCTGAACTGGACCTTGTAGTAGTCCAAGACGTCGATCCACTTCGCGCGGAGCCGCTGCACGAGCGGCGTCGCGGGCAGCAGCTTCAGCAGCTTCGTCATGCGCACGAGCCGGAGCACCTTGAAGGCCTTCTTCGCCTGGTAGACGTCGCCGCCGCCGCCGCTGTTGCCCAACAGCAGCGCCAAAAGCTGGTCGACGGGCACGGAAGAGATGACGTCGACGAGGAACCACCCGCGCCGATAATTCGACGCGATCATGTGGCGGTCGAAGACGAGCACGCCGTCGTCCGTCGTGTAGCCCACGTTGAAGTTCTTCAGCACGTCGACCATGAAGACGCAGTCGAACAGGAAGTTCACGAGCGTCATCGACCGGTTCACCTCCTCGAAGGCCAACGTCAACGGCAAAGACACGAAGACGACGACGAGCAGCACCATGATCGCAAAATCAAACGCCTGCGTGATCGCCGCGTCCGGTAGCAGGAGCTCGTAGCCCGGGATCCACGAGCAGCCGTCGCCGACGATCTTCACCAGGTCCGTCGTCCGGAGCTCGTCGAGCTCCGCGGCGTGCTCCTGGCACCGCCGTAGATTCTCCTGGAGCCGCGCGTGCTCGAGCTCGCAGGCCAGCTCCACGAACTCCTCGCGGCTCAGCAGCCGGTCCGGCGGCACGTCCTTCGCGCGCATCATCTCGTCGAAGATGGCCCACGACACGCGGCGGTTCATGCGCTTCATCGCGGGCATGAGGTCCGACGGCAGCACGTGGTCGTTCTCCGCCTCCACGGACGCGTAGGCCTCGCGGCAGCGCGACGCGAATAAAATGAACTTGGACTCGATCTCCGCCTGGCCCTCCTTCAGCTCCGCGCGCGTCCGGTCGACGGTCTTTCCCAGATTGCCGAGCACCGTCGCGTTCGCGACGCCCGAGATCGTCCGGTTCAGCGAGTCCGGCAACGTCCGCGGCGACGCCGACCGCGGCGACGCGCGGCCCCGGGCCTCGCCCGCGTCCGCGGACGGCGCGCCGGACCGCGCCGGCGGCGGCTCGGACTTGGACGGCGCCCGCTCGCCGGACCGCCGCCGCGGCGCCACGTCGACGCTGCCCACGCGCAGGCCCTTGAGCAGGCCGTGGATCGTCGACGTCGACGTCCCGCCCGTCTCCGACGAGCGCCGCTCGAACGCGACGTCGGACAGCTTCGATGCCGCGAAGACGGACTGCTTGTGCGGCCGCGGCGGCGACCCGTCGCTCGCGGACACGCTGACGTCGTCGCGGTGGTGGCGGTGGTGGCGGTGGTGGCCCTCGCCGTCGGACGACCCCTCCTCGTCGCTGAAGCCGGGGCTCAGCGGCTCCGGCGGCGCCGTCGACGCGGGCGTCGCGAACTCGACCGGCGTGCCGGCGGAGCTCGCGGGCGACAGCGGCGCGGGCGAGATGGCCCGGAAGACCTTCGACGTCGCGCTCCGCGGCGCCGCGAAGCGCGCGCCGGACTCGACGCCGGCGACGAGGCGCCGGAGCTCGCCGGCGGCCGCGCCGCACGCGTCCGCCGACGGTCCGCCCCAGTCGCCGGGCCCCATGTCGGCGACGGTCGCCGCCGCTGCGGCGACGGTCGCGCGCAGCAGCTCCATCTGCGCCTCGAGCCGGGCGGCCTTGGAGCTCGACGCCATGGCGGCGGCGCCGCGCGGGAGCGAGGATGCGGGTCTACCAGAAGATGAGTCCTGTGGCAGCCCGGGGACAATGGCACGCGCCGCCGGTCCTTGTTCTCACCGAGATCGGCGATGGACGAGGGCGCGCGGCCGCCGCCCCGCCGAGCGCGGATGCGGGCGGCCTCGCGGGCCGCCCCGCAGCCCGCTTGTGTCGACGATAGTGGTGGGGCCAGGCGGGATGAGACGTCGATTGCAAAGTCAACGAGGCCTGTTCGAGGGGCAACAACGGCCTGGCGCGCAATGGCCCAGCTAGGCGCCTATTGATCGCGCGCGGCGGCGACGTGCAAACCCGGCACCACTCGCGCGCGCCGTCGATCGATGCGCCGGAAGGCCCTGCTGGCCATGCTCGCGGGGCTCGCGGGCGCGCTGCGGCGCTGTTCCCTGCGCCTCACCGCCGGCACTCGCCTGCGCGCCGCCAGCGGCGCCCCCGAATCGACGCGCCTCTGGTCGGCGACGGACGTGCTGCAGTTCGCGAGGTCGCCCTTCGCCGCGTGGATGGACCGGCGCTACGCGTCGGCGACCGGCGACGACCGCGCGGCGCTCGACGCGCTGCGGGATCCGCCGGACGCGTTCGCGTCCCTGCTCGCGCGGCGCGGCGACGCCTGGGAGCGCGACGTCCTCGCGGCGCTGCGCCGCGAGCGCGACGTCGTCGACCTGAGCGGCGCCGCGCGGCGCGTGCGCGGCGACCCGGCGGGCGCGACGGCCGCGACGCTCGAGGCCATGGAATCGCGCGCCGACGTCATCTACCAGGCGCCCGTCGCCGACGCGACGTTCCTCGGCGTGCCCGACTTCCTCGTGCGTTTAGACGACGGGTCCTACGCCATCTGGGACGCGAAGCTGAGCCGCCGCGCGGCGCCGAACCACGTCATGCAGTTGTGTTGTTACCAGGGCAGCACAAGAGAGCGAAATTCCCAACTTCAAAGGCTCATATCTCGGCCATTTTTTACTCGTTTCGGCTGATTTTTGGACGAGCGATCATCTCTCGGAACGGTCCCGAAGCATGGATGCTTTTTCCGGAACGCGCGCGCGCGGAACACTCACGTTGAAGCGACGTTGAATCACCCTTGTGCTGCCCAGGCTGCTACGCGGAGCTCCTCGGCGAGAACGGGCGACGCATCGACGCCGCGGGCCTCGTGCTCGGCGGCGGCGACCCGCTGCGGCCGTCGGACATCCCCCTGGGCCAGTACGGCGCGAGCTGGCGGCGCCTGCGCCACCGCTTCCTCGACTTCGCGGCCGCCGCCGACGCGGCCGCGGACGACCCGTTCGACGCGGCAGCCGCGCCGGCGCCGCGCGGCGACGTCGCCCGGGACGCCCACGGCCGCTGGGGCGGCCTCGCGGCGCGCTTGCTCGCGGACAGGGACGACCTCCACGCGGGCGTCGCGGGCATCTCGCGGAAGCAGGCCGCGGCGCTTCGCAAGGCCGGTTTGGACACGTGCTCGCGCCTCGCGGATCTGGAGCCGCGGCGCGCGCGCGTCCCCGGCGTGCGGCCCGACGCGCTGAAGCGCCTCGTCGCCCAGGCGCGCCTCGCCAAGGCCGGCGGCGTCGCCTGGGCGGCGCTGCCCCTGCCGTCGGACCTCGCCGATCTCGTCGAGCCGGCGCGGGCGAGAACGAAGCCCTGCCCCGTGCCCGCGGCCCACGCCCTCGACTGCTACTTCGACCTCGAGGGCGACCCCTTCCTCGGGGACCGCGGCCGCGAGTACCTCTGGGGCGTCTCGGAGGCGGCGGCCGGCGGCCTGGCCTACAGCGGCGCGTGGGCGCACGACGAGCGGGCGGAGCTCGACGCCTGCCGCGCCTTCGTCGCCGGCGTCGAACGGCGCCTCGAGCGGAGCGACGGCGGCGCCCACGTCTACCACTACGGCGCCTACGAGCTCAGCGCGCTCCGGCGCGTCGCCGCGTCCGCGGACCGCGACCTCGAGCGCCGCGTCGAGGACCTCATCGGCCGGGGCGCCTTCGTCGACCTCTACGACGTCATCAAGAAGCACGTGCTCGTCGGCGAGCCGCGCTACAGCCTCAAGAACGTCGAGAAGCTCTACCGGCGGCGCGGCGGCGACGGCGTGAACGACGCCGCGAGCTCCGTCGTGGGCTACGAGGTCTGGCTCGAGGGCGGCCAAAGCGACGACGCGCTGCTCGCGGAGCTGTTAGCCTACAACAAGGACGACTGCGACTCGACGGCGGAGCTCGTCGCGTGGCTGCGGTCCGCGTTCCCGACGCCCAGGGCCGCGCCGCCGGAGCCCCCCGAGGACGGCGCGCTCGCGTCGCCCGTGGCGACGGCGGAGGACGAGTGCCGCGCGGCGACCATCGCCGCCTGCCTCGCGGGCGCCGACGACGCCGGCGACGCCGCCGCGGGCTGGCTCGACTACCACAAGCGCGAGCTCCGGCCGCTCTGGCGCCAAAAGGCCGAGTGGATGCGCGCGCCGGGCTGGCAGCTCGCCGACGACGAGCGCTGCGTCGGCGCCTGCGCCGTTGTCGGCGTCGTCGACGCGCCGGCGGGCGGGCGACGGAAGCGCGCGACCTACGACATGCGCTTCGAGGCGCCGCAGCCCTCGAAATTACGCGCTGGCGACGCGGTGCTCATCCGCGACGACAGCCTCTACGAGGAGGGCGGCTTCGACCAGCTGCGGCGCGGCACGCTCGTCGGCGACCCGAAGCCCGACGGCACGCTGTCGCTGCTGGCCTCGGAGCCGCCGCCGTTCCGGTGCTCGCTTATACCCGACGAGTTCGTGAACCCCGCGCCGCTGCCCCTCGCGGCGCTGACGAACGTCCGGAACGTCCTCGACGGCCGGGACGGCCCCCTCGCGGCCTTCCTGGCGCGGAAGCCGCCGGCCTTCGCGGGCGTCGAGACCGGCGGCGACGTCCTCGGGCCGTTCCTTTGCGGCGACGGCGACGCGACGCGCGCGGCCGTCGACGCCATCGCCGCCCTCGACGGCTCGGCTTTAGCAGTCCAGGGCCCGCCGGGCACGGGCAAGACCTACCTCGCCGCGCGGGCCATCGCGCGGCTTCTGGAGGATGGGAAAAGAATCGCTCTATGCGCGCCGTCGCACGCGACGGTCGCCAACGGCGTCCTCGCGGCGCTCGCCGTCGTCGCGCCGTCGGACTCCATCAAGGTCGTCAAGGTGGGGGGGCGGCGCCGTTCCAAGGCGCCCGGCGCCGAGGACCCGGAGCGCGAGCTCGCGGAGACCGCGGGCGTCGAGTGCCGGCCGCGTCTCGACCAGACTCTGGTCGACGAGTTCCTCGGCGGCGGCGCCGTCCTCGTGGGCGGCTCGGCCTGGGCCTTCGCGCGCGACGAGGCGCGGGGGCGCTTCGACTACCTCTTCGTCGACGAGGCGGGCCAGGTGCCCGCCGCGAACGTCGCGGCGATCGCCGGTTGCGCGTCGAACGTCGTCCTCCTCGGCGACCAGATGCAGCTGCCGGCGCCCCAGCGCGCGGCCCACCCCGGCGAGCTCGCCGGCGCGTCGGCCCTCGAGTACTACTCCCTCGGGCGCGGCGACGGCGGCTCGCTGCCCGCGGACGTCGGCGTGTTTCTCGACGTGTCCCGGCGGCTCCACCCGGCGCTCTGCGGCGCCATCTCCGAGCTCGTCTACGGCGGGCGCCTGCGCGCCCACGCCGACGCGGCGAAGCGCACCGTGCCCGGGGCAACGGCGCTCGCGTCCGCGGACGCGGGGTTGGTCGTCGTGGACGTCGAGTCGTCCGCGGATCGCGGCGACGTCGCGACGGCGAATCTGGAGGAGGCCGCGGTCGTCGCGCGCGTCGTCGGCGACGTGCTCGACCGCAAGGTCTTCCGCGACGGCGACGACGAGCGGCCGCTCGCGCCCGGGGACGTCCTCGTCGTCTGCCCCTACAACGCGCACGTCCGCGCGGTCGAGGACGCGCTCGAGGCCGCGGGCGTCGCGGGCGTCAAGGTCGGCACGGTGGACCGCTTCCAGGGCCGCGAGGCGCCCGTCGTCGTGGCGTCGCTCGCCGTGGCGACGGGCGACGACGAGAACGACGGCGACTTCGACGCGCCGTCGGGGCTCGCGGGCGGCCGCGGCGTCGCCTTCGCGCTCGACGCGCGGCGCCTCAACGTCGCCCTGTCGCGGGCCCAGTGCCTCGCCATCCTCGTGAGCGCGCCGGACCTCGCCGACGGCGCGCCGTCGAGCCTGGAGCGCATGCGCGAGCTCGCGATGCTCGCGCGGCTCCGCGAGTTGGCCGCGGAGCGGACGACGGCCGCGCCCGCGGACTTTGGAGAGATCCCGTTCTAGTCGTAACGTAACCTGTTGTGCTTGTGTTTGCCAACGTCTTTTGGGGGGGCTTGTGTGCTGTCCCAGGCTTTCTTCACAGCTCAGGACCTGCGGTCGCTGAGAGGGCTGCTGAGGACGCCTCTGAGGGCTCGCTGCTCGCTTGATCAAGACTCGAGTGCGGCAAAAGACTCGTCCCGCGCCGCGGGCCGCGCGACGCTCTTCGCCGCTCGCGTCGCCGCGCCGACGCTCATCGCCCGGACATTATGAACGCGGACAAGCTTCCCCGCACGACCACTGCGCCCCACCTCCAGTCGCTCTGGCGGAAGCACGACCTCACGGATGCAGTAGTTGGGTTCTTGGATTTGAATGCCATCTGCTCCCTGCCTGCTCTGTCGAAGTCATTCGCCGCGGGACAACTGCGGATTCTGTGCGCTGCGGGGACGCAAGCGGTGATCAAGCGGGGAATCATCGTCACCTTGCGCGACGCGGGGCGCGATGTCGTTCGCGTTCGCGAGCGCTGGGACAGCCTCGAGCATTGGGTCACTACGCATGGCCCGGGGCCGGAATTGCAACGAACTCCCGGGGGTAATCATGTGGCAGTGTCCAGGCTCGATGCGCAGGTCGGAGTTGGTAGTGAGAATGATGGTGGAATGCAGTTGGATTTCGATGGCGAACGGAACTGCATCAAGAGCTTTCGTATGCGGTGCCGTTACAGCGGCCAGTATGGGCTGGGCGGTGGCGATTTCATACTCATGTCGACGTCGTCGTCGCAGGAGTTTGATGTTGAAAGCTTTCTATGCCGAGTCTACTTTCAGCCAAACGGAGGTCCGGCTGCGGGTGCGACCCCGCAAGAGATTAAGCTGCTGACCTGGATTGATAATTCTTCCGATGTCCAAGCCGGAAACCAAGTCGTACGTTTGTGTGACGCGAGACCTGATCAATGGTACACGGTCGAGGCCGAATTTGACTGGGATGCGTCGACGGCGATCGTATCTGTCGATGGTGTCCGCGTGTCGCGGCTCCCGTTTCACCGATTCCCACTTCGGTCCCTCTACCTCTGCAACTATTCCCGCTTTACGAGCCACTTCGGCGCTATCGACATCGAGTACTACGCAGCATCAAGTCGTCAGAACTTTCAAGAAAACCTCAATCTCCCAGACCCGGATGCTGGCGACTACTAAATGCGATCGCTAATTGCTCTCTACCTAGGTAGTGTAGGGATGCTGCTTACTCCACGGGCGAGCGCCCCCCCGCGTATTCCGAGAAGCAGTTGGGCATGGCGATGCGGAGCTGGTCGTCGTCGCCGCGCTTCTTCCGGCCGCCGGCCTGCCGGCTGCGCATGAGCTGGCGGTCGAGGTAGAGGTCCGGGCGCATGGTCTCGAAGGACGACGTCGCGAAGGCGCGGTCCTCGGACGGAAAGAGCGTCGCGCCGATGGTCGTCGCGCCGTTGAGGGGCCCCTTGCGCGCGGCCGACGCGCGATTCGCCTCGAGCTGCGCGCCCTCGTGGCTGTGCGTGTCGCGCTTGTTGAAGCCGTACCAGCGGCCGTCGCCGAAGCGGCAGGTCGTGCGCGTGAGCTGGGCCTTCAAGGCCTGGGGGTCCACGGCGAAGTTCGCGCGGCCGACGTTCTCGCCCTTCGCGCGCAGACCGCCGTCCATGCAGTCCTGCATCGTCGTGTGGGACTGGCTGCGCCGCGCGTAGTCCCAGAGGTAGGGCCGCGGCTTGATGGTGTTGTCGACGACGGGCTCGCGGCGGTGGTCGCCGCGGACGTCGGGCATGCGGCCCGCGACGACGTAGCGCGTCGCGGGGCCGTTCCGACCGTAGGACCAGGAGGTTTTCGTGAGGTTGTGCTTCTGCTCGGCGCGCTGCTCCGCCTCGGCGTTGAGGTCGCGGAGCTTCGCCGCGCCGTCGGCTAGGGCCATCTCCTCGTTCTGGACGGAGAGGAACTCGATGGGGTGGTCCATGGACAGCTTCGCGCGTTCACCCGTCTGCTGGCCGACACCAGCGCGGTGGCCGACGCTCCCTGGGTCTTTGTGGACCCGCGGGTAGATACGCCACGACGCGACTTGCGACCCGCCGATCATCGTGTGCTTTGTTGTTGGGGCTGCGTCTCAGTGCGCGAGCATCGGCGCGTTGTGTCGTTGGGTCGGCGGTGAAGCGGCCAAGGCCGCCGTTGCAGGCCCCCATCTGAAGTGTCGCCTTCGTCGTCGTCGGCCGCGCCGTTGCAGACCCCCATCCTCGGCGCGCGCCCTGCGCCCAGTTCTCGCGCGCATCTCTCGCACTCCATCGCTGCGCCACGCGCGCCACGCGCGCGCGCCACGCGCTGCTCCCACGCGCGCCGCGCGCTGCTCGCGCGCGCCGACCCCGCCGTTCCTCCGCAGGCGCCACAACATCGATGACGCTCGGACAACTGGATAGACTGCCAGCGCACCGTGTGCAACCCTTTGACGGACGCGCCGCCGCGAAGAAAGCGTGGAGCGCGCGGCTTAGCGGCAAGAGTACGTCAGCCGTGTCCGCAACGTCGCGCGTAACTGTCGCGCGATCGCCCGCGTGACCGTAGGCATGTCGACGAAGGCCGCGGCGCAGATCATCGCCGAGTACGAGCGCGCGATCAAGTCCGACGACGCGCCGGCGCTGCCGTGCGTCTCGCCCGAGACGTCGGCGAAGCTCGAGACGGCGGGCTCCTGCGCGGCGGCGACGTCGTACCGGGGCTTCGTCGTCGGCCGCGCGGCGTCCCGCTTCCTCTGGCTCGCGGTCTGCATCGCCTACGCCTTCGTGCGCAAGGTCGTCGTCGCCATCCTCTGCGTCGCGAAGGGCGCGCTCGTGACGGCGCGCGTGTCGGCCCAGGCCGCGCGCGCGGCGGCGTACGTCGCCGAGTGCGCGCGGAGCGGCTTCGTCGCGGCGTCGACGGCGTCCTTCGTCGTCGCGGGCCTGGCGCTCGAGTACGGCATCCGGCTCTACGGCGCGATCCGCGTCCGCGCGGAGCCCTTCCTCCGGGCGCGCGCGCCCGAGGCCTGCAAGTTCCTCTTCCCGACGTCGCCGAAGAAGGACGTCGACCTCGAGGCCGCCGTCGAGAGCGTCGCCGTCTCCCCGAAGTCCGACTCCCCGACGAAGCGCACCCCGAAGACGCCCGCGCCGCAGCCCCGCTGGGTCAAGACGCCCGGCGCGGAGGACCAGTGAACGAGTAAGACTCGCCTGTGGACTAGTTACGCATTAAGTGCCTCGAGGATGGCTATGGCTCCCTCGTGCCCGTTGGCGGCCGCGCGCGCATACCAGCGTTTCGCCTCGTCGCGGTCGCGTTCCACGCCGTGACCGTTCTCATAGAGGACGCCGAGATTCGCGCACGCCTCTGCGTGCCCTTGCTCGGCGGCGAGCCTATAATATCGGGAGGCCTCTGCATGTCTTTCTTCGAAATACAAAAGTATCGCGAGGTTGTTCTGCGCTTTAGCCCAGCCCAGGTCTGCGGCCTGATGATAGTACTGCATCGCCTTCTTCTTGTCTATCTTCTTGACACCCTCGCCAATTTCATAAAGGCGCCCAAGCTCGAACATCGCCTCCACGCTACCGAGCTCGACGGCGCGCTTGTAAATCTTCACGGCTTTCTTCGTCGATCTTAATATGCCGTATTCGTTGGAAGCATCACTGCCGTTGTACAGATCCCCCAACTCAGCCATCGCCTCGGGCACCCCGTTCTCCACGTGGCGACGAACCAAAGCCAGATGCGCCGCAGCCGTTCGCGGGTAAGGTGCCTGACAGAGCGGACAGGGTGCTTCGATTGGAATCTTGTCCTCGCAAGAGATGCAGATCCTCCGGAAGCAGCAGGGACGATTCATGACGTTCGCGTTCACGTCCCACTCCTCGAGACAGATCGGGCATCGCGAGCCCCACCGCGCCGACGCCGGCTCCCGCTCCGGGTTCGCATCGCGCCGCAAACGCGCCGCCTCGTGCTCCGCCGCGATCCGCGCGCGGACCTCGTCGGCGTGCGACCGCGGCGCGGGGCCGTAGAAGACGGGCTTCGGGGGGGACGGCGGGTCCGTCGGCGCCGCCGCCCGCGCCGCCTCCGCCGCGCGCTCGTCTCGGATCTTTTTGCACGCCGTGCGGTGGCCGCGGTCGCGCCAGTCGATCTTTTGGCAGGCGACCGTGCAGTACTGGGTAGTGCCACAGGGGCAATTCAGCTTGGCCTTCTCACCGCAAATGGTGCAGGTGAGCCGGAGCCGGAGCTCTTTCGCCCGGGCTTTGACCTGCTCGAATTCCCTCTGCTTCTTCTGCCAGTCCTTCATGAGCGGTGCGAGCGTGGCGGGGGCGTGTACGAGGGTCGGGGGCGTGGCGGGGGCGTCTGAGAGGCACGATGTCGCAAGCGCAAGCTCTTCGCTTGCCACAGGACTTGGCGAACCCCAAACAAGCTGATGAGAGAGAAGTCCTTACGGGGAGAGAGGGAGTAGGGCGGGATGGGATCGGGGAAAGGGGGGGGAGGGGGAGTTCAGAGGCGGGCCTGGTCGCGGAGGCGCGCGGCGAGGGCGTGGCGGGGGGACTTGTTGAAGGACTTGGGCATCGCGCCGGCGAACGCGCCGACGCACGAGAGCGCGCAGTCGTCGCCGAGGAGGTCCGTCGCGATCGCGTTCCACTCGCACTCCGTCGCGGCCTCCCACTCGGCGCCGCAGTCCGCGTCCTCGAGGGGGTGGACGCACTCGGCGAGCCACTCCTCCGAGGCCTGCAGCGCCTCGCACGTGACCGTCTCGGTCGCCGGGAAGCCGCCCTCGACGGCGGGCGCGCTATCCGTCGCGTTCGCGGCGAGCGCGTCGAGGTCGACGCCCGCGGCCTCGACGCAGGCGGTCCAGGCGTCGATGTCGGCCTGGCAGGCCCGCTCGACGAGGACCTCCTCCGTGACGGGCGCCGGCGTGGGCATGTGGAGCGTCGGCATGGGGGTCGGGTCCGGCGTCGGCCGCGCCGTCGGCGGCGCCGTGTTCGGCGCGGGCGTGGGCCAGGGCAGGCTCGGCGCCGCCGTCGGCGCCGGCGGCTCGTAGTCGGCGCAGGTGTTGGGGCAGCCCTCGGTGGCGAGAGTGCCATCTTCATCATGCTTGACGCAGCGCTCGGCCGTGTTCAACGCGACCCAGTCGCAGTCGTCGGCCTTCGTGCCCTTCTTGAGCCACGTCGACGCGGGGTCGAGGGACAGCTCCGACGCGTCGGCGACGACGTCGAAGGTCATCGACTCGTAGACGAGGCGGTCCCGGACGACGTCGCGGTCCGACGGCGCGTCGGCCCCCAGCTCGAAGAACGTCGACCGGTCGGGCGCGGAATCGACGCGGAGCGACGCGTGCAATCGGCCCTCGGGCGTCGGCGGGAGCGCCACGTAGACCGACGCGCCGCCGACGGGCACCTTGACCGCCGACGCGAGCAGCACCGCGCCGTCGCACTCGCCGAGGCCGTTCTCGGCCAGGGAGTCGTAGTAGGCGGCGATCCGCGGCCGGTCGCGGTAGCAGACGCGCACGGACGCGACGGCGGGCACGGACGCGAGCCGGCCGACGTAGGCCATGGTCAGCTTCGCCCTGGCGCCCGCGACGAAGGCGTTGACGCGGCCCGCGCCGAGCTCCGGCGCCTCGTCGGCCTCCGTGAGGAGCTCGACCGCGAGCACCGGGGTAGTAGGGGAAGGAGTGGGACCGCCCGTGGGCCGCGGCGTCGCGCCGGGCTCGTCCGTGGGCCGCGGCGTCGGCGCGTAGGCGTCGATGACGGGGAGCTCGACGACGGCGGCGTAGCCGTGGACGTGGTCGTACGCGCGGACCTCGACCGACGCGGGCCAGTCGGGAGCCACGTCGAAGTCGAAGGACCGCGACCCGTCAAAGGCCTCGCCCGCGGCGATGACGGCGAGCGCGTCCGTGCCCGTCGCCGACAACGCCGCGTCGTGGACCACGACGTCGACGAGCGCGTCGCCGCGGGCCATGGGGCCCACGAGGCGGAGCCGGACCGAAGAGCGAGCGCCCTTGACGAGGAGCGGATCGCGCGCGACCAAACTCAGCCCCGCCTCCGTCGGCGCCGGCGCCGGGTGGAGCGTCGGCTTCGGCGTCGGCCCGTAGGTCGGCGCGGCCGATGGCGCGTAGACGGGCTTGCGGGAGGGCGCGAACTCGAAGACGCCGAAGACGTCGGTGAATCGCACGTCGCGGCGCGTCGCGTCCGAGATCTCGAAGACGACGTCGTCGCGGCCGAGGAAGGTCGCGGGCACGGTGTAGGGCACGTCCAGCGCCGTGTTACCGACGGACGCGTCGACGATGAGCGTCTCGATGGGCTTCTTGGCGTCGCACTCGACGTCCGCGGCGTCGCGGAGATGCGCGGTGAAGTCGCGGCCCGAGTCCAGGCGCTTCTTGACGCACATGCGCACGGTGACGACGTGCGCGTCACCGCCGTAGGCGACGACGACGAGCGTCACGTCCGCGCCGACCACTAGCGCGTCGTCCGCGCCGTAGGCGAGCGGCTCCTGCGGATCTCGCTGGACCACCACGACCGTCTCCTCGACCGTCGGCCGGGGCGTGGGCTTGACGGCCTTCGTCGGCGCCGACGACGGCTTCGGCTCCTCGTCGAAGACGCCGATGTCGGCGCCCGACGCGACGTCCAAGCCGCGGAGCGTGTCGACGCAGCGGACCGCGTAGCGCCGCTGCTCGAGCGTCTCCGGCACCGCGACGCGCATCGCCAGCGCCGTCGTCTTCGGCGTGACCTCGACGTACTCGCCGATGACGAGCACGGGCGCCACGTAGGCGGCGGTCGTCGAGGCCAGGTCCTCGGTCTTGTAGAGCACGCAGTCCATGCGCGACTCGTCCGGCGCCAGCTCCGGGTCGTCGTAGAACGCGACGGCGAGCTCGAGCGTCTCGCCCGGCTTCACGTGCAGCGGCAGGTCCGGGAAGCCCAGCGTCGCCGCCGTGGGCTTGAGCGTGGGCGCCGGCGTGGGCCTGACCGCGCGGAACTTGAAGGCGTGCGTGTCGACGGCGTACTCGTTGACGACGTCGACGGCGTAGAAGACGTAGCGGTCGCCGTCGACGAGCGCCGCCGGGATCTCCACCGTCTTGACCGTGTCCGCGCCCGGGGCGACGTCGATGCCGTACTCGAGGACGACGGCGGAGTCGCCCGCGCAGCCGCCGGACGCCATCGACTCGTCCGCGTGCGCCTTCTTGCAGACGCCCAGCGTGACGACGGACGCGCCGTCGTGCGCGCCCGCGTAGGAGAAGGTCACCTCAGCCTCGTCGCCCGGCGAGAGCTCGCGCGCCGCAACGACGTCGACGTTGAGGCCCCGGCGCGTCGGCCGCGGCGTCGGCGAAGAGGACGCGCGCGAAGGCTCGGGCGACGGCTGCGGAGTATACCCGACGGAGAAGTCGTCGGAGTAGACGTCGACGCCGCGCGCGTACTCGACGACGCGCAGGAAGAAGCCCTTGTAGGCCGTCGCCGCCACGAGGTCCCAGGGCACGTCGTAGGCGAAGTCGCGGGACCCGTCGAACGACGCGTAGCGCGCGACGGTCGCGAGGAGCGTCGCCTGGGTGTTCGGCGCGCCGCTGGAGACGCAGGCGCTCGGCCCCGGCGTGGCCGTGACCACGGCGCAGCCGTAGAGGAGCACGTCGACGACGGCGCGGTCGCGGGGCCCCGTGGCCTTGAGGGCCACGGTCTCCCGCTTCCCGACGATCCACGACCGCGGCGCGGGGTCGAAGACGACCGTCGCGGCCGTCGGCCGCGGCGTCGTCGGCCGCTGCGTCGGTTGGGGCGACGGGTGGGGCGTCGGCGCGTAGTAGGCGACGACGAAGGAGTCGGAGACCTGGACGAACTCGTAGAACTTGCCGGCCTCGGCGCCCTTGTAGAGCGGCCGCGTGTCGTACATCGCGCCGCGGTCCCGCGCCATGAACCGGTAGTCGTCGCCCGGCGCGATGCCCTCGGGGATCGTGAACGTGACGACCTTCTCCGTGCCCGCCGTCTTGCTCACGCTGACGTCTTTCACGAAGCCGATCTTGTTGGAAGCGGCGCCCGTGCCGCGGCCCGAGTCGTCCGGCGGGTACGCCGGCGCGCACGTGGAGTCTCGCGCGCCCCGGCAGAGCTGGACGACCATCAAGCCATTCTGGTCGCGGCTCCGGCCCGTGAACGCGAGCGTGAGCGTGACCTGCTCGCCGGGCGCGACGCTGTTCGGGAAGCCCGCGCCGGGGCCCGTGAGGATCAGGGTCCCGGGCTGCGACCCCTTGTCCTTCTTCCGGAGGACCATGGCGAGGCCCGTGTGCGACGGCGCCGGCGTCGGCGACGTGCTCGGCTCGTAGTCCAGGTTGTCGTTGACGGGGAAGGTCACGGACTCCTCGTCGTAGCCGCGCGTGTACTCGATGGCCCGGAGCTTGTAGTCGTGGCCGGGCTCCAAAGCCGCGGGCACGTCGTAGTCCACGTAGTACTTGTCGCCCGTCTCCATCGTCGCGTAGGCGACGACGACGTCGTAGAGCTCGCTGCCCTTGTAGAGGAGGACGTCCAACAACCCGTAGCCGAAGTCGTAGGAGTAGCCGCGCTTCTGGTCGTTGTGGTCGTCGCAGACGCGGACGCGGAACGACACGCGCGAGCCCGCGCGCCAGTAAAAGTCCTCGGCGTTGGGGAATTCGATGGTGCAGAGCTTCGTCGGCAAATAGGTCGGGTAGGGCGTCGGCTTGAAGACGGGCGCGAGCGTGGGCTCCGCGGACGGCGGGTTTATGGGCGCCTCCGTCGGCCGGTACGTCGGCGCGTGCGTCGGCGCGTAGTCCTCGACCATGAAGAAGTCCGTGGCGTAGAGCGCGTCGAGCCAGGCCTTGCGCGTCAGGTCCGGGTCGCAGAACTCGCGGCGCACGGCGGGGCTCGTCGTGTAGCACCACGCCTGGCCCGAGCCGTCGGGGTCGCGGCACTCGTTGTGGTCGCCGAGGTCCGCGTCCGGGTAGTTCCCCGGCGTGTGGACGTGGGTCCAGGGGCTCTGCTCCGTCCACTTCTGGCAGGTGAGGCCCGAGACCGTCGTCGTGACCTTTTGGACGAGGCCCGTCGCGTCGAAGTTCGCGGCCTTGTTGACCGTGTCCGCGTAGACGAAGTAGTAGGCGTGGCCGCTCGGCAGGTCCCGCGGCAGCTCCACGTCGTAGAGCATGGTGTCGTCGAAGTCCTTGTCGACTTCGTAGGTTTTGAGGGCTGGCGGGGCGAGATGATGGTCGACGGCCGTCTTCCACAGCGCGTAGCGCGCGTCGCCGAGGCAGTCGTCCGTCGCCTGCTTGTGCTTGAGCAGGTAGACGCAGTCGGGGTCGCAGCTCAGGGGGCAGGCCTCCGCGGCGGTGGCGGCCGCGCCTTCCACGGGCACCCCGCAGGTGCCGACGCCGTCGCCGTCGGCGTCGGCGAGCGGCCCCTCCTTGCACGAGAGGCACTGGTACGAAGCGGAGGGGGCCTTGCCGTCCTCCGACACGTAGCCGCAGGACGCGCAGGTCGCGTGGCAGGCGCAGGTCGTCTCGTGCTCGTGGGGGGTGGGCCAGTCGGCGTCGGCCCAGAGCACGCCCGCGTAGGCGTAGCACGCGCCCGGCGGGTACTCCGCGTAGCGGCCGGGCGTCTCGCACGCGTAGCGCTCGCCGGCCCAGCGGCAGTCGCGGGCGTCTTGAGCGTCTGGGTCGTCGTCGCCCGCGCGCCAGACGGGGCTGTCGACGCACTGGTCCGCCGGCTTGAGCGTCTCGTCGACGAAGAAGGTGTCCGTGGAGCCGGAGGACTCCTTGTAGAGGCGGCTCCCGGACGCGTCGTTGTCGCGGAGCCGGCGGTCGACGAGGCGCTCGCCGTCGACGGCGCCGAGGCGCCGGTCCTCGCCGTAGATGGGGTCGTCGCCCCAGGTGGACCGGCAGAGCGAGATGACGACGGCGCCGTTCGTGTCGCGATCGGAGCCCGTGTAGGAGAGCTCGAACGTGAGCCGCTCGCCGGGCACGAGCCCGCCGCCTCTGCCGAGGTCCGTGTCCCTCCTGACGGGCTGGCCCTTCGAAGAGCCCGTCAGAATCGTGTCGCCAAAGTCCCGGTCCCGCGAGAGGACGCGGAGGGACAGCGTGTCGCGCGTGGGCTCGGCCGTGGGCGCGACCGTCGGCTTGAGGAAGCCCACGGGGAACTCGCCCCTCGTGTCGCCCCCCGACGGCGCGCCGTCGTACTTGCCGGACGTGACGTCGACGCCCATCTCCCAGACGATGCACCGGAGCCGGTACTGGCCCTCGGGGATGCCGTGGTGGCCGGCCTCGGGCACGGTCCAGGTCACGGCGAGGTGGCGGCCCCGGGCCTCGTGGCCCGCGAGGAGGAGCCACGTCGGCTGGCCGATCTTCGCGACGTTCGGCTGGCCGTCCGCGCGCTTCGCCTCGACGAGGAGGTCGACGTGGAGCCCCTCCTCGGGGAGGATGACGTCGAAGGTGCAGGTGCCGCCGGGCACGCAGAGGTCGGGCAGGCCCAGGTTGACGCCGTCGCCGTAGGCCGTGGGCGCGTTCTTGCCCTTCTGGCCCGCCGCCGTCGGCGCCGACGTCGTCGGCGCGAGCGTCGGCGACGACGTCGGCAGGTTCGCGGCGTAGCGCGTCGCGACGCCGAAGTTCGCCGTGGCGAAGTCCGCCTTGAAGCGGCGCGTCTCTTTGAACATGAGCCTGAGCGCCGGCGGCGTCGCCTCGGCCTCGTAGTCGTCGAGCGTCTCGAGGCGCCGCGCGCGCGCGTCGCCGGCGGCCGGCGCGTCGCCGAGCCGCCGCGCGCTCCGGGCGAAGTCGTAGTCCCCCTGCGTGACCTCCCACGTGACGACGCAGCCGTGGATGGTCTGCGCGTCCGCGCCCTCGACGTCGAGTTCGTTCGCCGCGACGCACTTGACGTCGTCCGGCAGGAAGCGCTCGTAGTCGTCGCCCTCGTTCAGCGCGTCGACGACGCGGAGGTTGTTGAGCCGCGGCGCCTCGCCCGTGGCGTCGCCCGTGTAGTAGACGTGCGTGTAGGCGACGCCGCCGACGACGCCGTAGGGCAGCTGCGCCGGCGTCTGCTGGAAGTAGTTGTCCGCGGCGAGCCACGCGTCCGTCGGCGCGCGCGTCGCGGTCGGGGGCACCGTCGGCGCGCCCGTGGGCAGGAAGTCGTCGTAGTAGAGCAGGATCTCGCGCCTCTCCGGTTGCCAGCCGTCTCCGGCGTCGCGGTTCTCCAGGAACACGCCGTCCTCGAGGTTCGTCGTCACCGCGTAGATGTGGATGCCCTTCTCGAGTTCATCGTCCTTGAAGTAGGTCTCCCAGCTGCCGCCGCCGGGCGCCACGTCCGGCAGCTTCATGTTCGGCGCCTGGCCGCTGCCGCTCTGGCATGTGCTGGCCACGTCGTCGATCGCGCACTCGCAGTCGTCGGGATACTCGGGGCAGTCGCACCACGCGCAGTCGCCGTCGCCGCCGACGTCGAAGATGATCGGCGTGGACGGGACGACGCCCTTCAGGATCTTCGTGGCGATGAGTGCGTCTAAGTCCGGGTTGATGATCACGGAGTTCGTCTCATCATCCCAGCCCCCCTGGGACCGATACATCTCGATGCGGAACTCGTAGTTCCGGCCGACGGGGCCCGACGCCCGGATCTTCCACGGGATCGTCACGGGATCGTCATCGTCCGCGGGGGGCTTGGCGCGGAACTGCGTGTCCTTCGTCAACTGGGAGTCTTCGGGGGAGAGCCAGGTGTGAAGGTGCGTCCATTTTTCTTCGGCCTGGGCGGACCCGAGCGCGAGGAGGAGGAGGAGCGAGCGCATCGTCCTACTCGTCCGTCGTTTTGGGGCGTGGCGTCCTAGCTTTTCTTCTCGGCGAGGCCGCCGTACACCCCGCGGGCACGAGGGCCGACGGGGGCGTTGCTGTATTCACCGGTCACCCCGGGCGCGCGGAAACAGTCGATCGCTTACCTCGACTTGCGAGATTACGACGTTCTCGCGAAGGCCGGGCGTTCTCTTCTACGCCGTACACGTGGCACGATGGGCCGAGGGTCGCGGGACTCACCAGCTCACCCCTGAGCCGCTGGTGCGTGCGGGGGAACAGGAGATCGCCGGCACTCGATGTGGCGGCCGAGCTCAAAAAAGCTCGATTTTTTCGATCTCGGCGGGGGTGTGCCGGCGCACACATGCACGAATCTTAATGATTATTATTATTATGGGTGCTTTAACGTGGGACTAGGTCGGCGGCCCGTGGGCGGCCGACGGCGCACGCGGATCAGGTCGGATATCGTGAAGATGACGCGGCCGAGAGCCGAGGTGTTCAGGTAACCGGAGTCGCCCGCCCAGGACGGAACCAGTTGAGGTCTGTCGGTCAGCCCCTCACAACGGACTGGACAGTGGGGAGGTCACGGTAGCATAGCACTGGCCGACCCCGTGACGAAACGGGTCGGACTCCGACCTGCGAAAGAACGCAGGGCAGGACGACGGAGGAACATGAAGCGCGGAGCCGAGTATCGACCACACCCGGCGACGGACAGGGACTGAATATCCGCCGCAGGGTGCCGCGGACGAACCGCCACGGCAGCACGGTTCAAGAATCGTTCGTCGCGAATAAAAGTCACGGTAGCGTAGGGGACGCCGGCCCCGTGACAACAAGCCGGGCTCTCGGGCACTCGAAACGGCAGCGGCCGAGGACGACGGGGGAACCCGGGAGGACAGGAGGCATCAAAGAACCAAGCAAGTCAGACCCAAGGAAAAACCGTCGCGTTTCTGGAGGAGGAATTTGGCGGAAGAACACGAATCGTGGCACGTAGAGAAGCAGAACGAGGCTGCGTGTCGCTCCACCCACATTTACGGCTCCGAGACGGCTGGTTCGGCAGGCATCGCTTCGTGGGAAAACCGAACGCGGCGGAGCTTGCTCGGAGAGACTCGTTCCGGAGTCGACGGCGGCGTGTGCCCAGGCTTGCGGCGCGGCGGAGGCTGGCCCTGTGAGATCGGCTGAAGCGGCGGTCCCCACGCGAGCGGCCGTCGGCCGTCCGGCACGAACCCGGCAGCGAGCATGCACTTCAGGGCGCCTCCCGACGGCGCCCCTGGATGATGCATCGCGTAGTGGTGCGTGAGGTACCGCAGGGCCACCGGCGCGGAGCACTCCGGGCAGGACATCGCGTACTTCGGCCGTGACGGCGGCACTGCCGAACCCGTCGACGGCGGCAGCCTCGGAGGCCGAACCAGGGCACGACGAAAAATGGAGGCCAGCAGCGTTGCGGCGCGTCTGCGTCGAGAACCATGAGATCTAACGTGAGAGGTGATCAGGCGGGCGGAGCGGGTTCGTCTAAAGGAGCGGGAGAGGTAGCGGCAGAGCCGTGCCGACGGCCTCGTCGGTACGGGAGCTCGGCCGTCGGGCTGCGCCCCGGCGTCCTCGCCAGGCGCATCCCGCACCCCCACCGGCGCCCGCGGACCTCCGCGTGCGCCGGGGGCTGCCCGGGCTCGGGGCGACCGGCCCCTGGAGCCTCTGCGACTCGCATTCCGTGCGAAATCGTTTCCAGAAAATCGCTGCGCACCGCGCTGCTGAAGGTCGCCTAATGAAACGAGGCCTGAAAAGGCGTCTGAAACGGCCCAGGGCATTTACCAACATGCGTTCGCATCCGCATCCCTCTCGCGCCGTGGCCGCGCCGCAACCTTGGGCATGGCCAGCGCGACACGCCGCGGTTCCCGCCCGCGCGGCGCGTCCGATGACCCGCCCGACATTCTCCGACGCTCTGAGACCGACGCATCCGGCTCACTCCTTAAAGACCAGAACCACCAACTCACCCTTACTCCGCGGCGCACTTGGGCGCCAGGTGCACGACGCCCCACTTGCCGTCCGTGAGCCACGTGACGTCGTCCGCGGCGGCGGCGGCCGTCTTCTCCGGCGCCATGCCGCAGCCCAGCTCCGCTTTCAGCGTGCGCAGGCACAGCAGGGGCGCCGGCGCGTAGGAGCAGACCTCGGCGAAGGGCGCGTCCAACGGCCAGGGCCGGTCGCCGAGCGCGCGGCGGTAGTTCGCGTCGCCTTTGACGACGACGAGGTCGCTCGTCGACGCGAGCTCGTCGCGCAGCGCGCTCGGCATGCGCCAGAGCGCGTAGGGCATGGCCCAGTAGGGCTCGGCGAAGCAGGCGAAGGCGCCCGAGGCCCGCCGCTCGCGCCAGGCCTCCGCGACGCGCGCCGCCGCGGGGAAGGCGCCCGACGCCAGGCTCGCGATGTGCCCGTCGACGTCCTTCTCCAGAGCGTCGGAGACGAAGGTCGGGTGGTGCTTCACGCGGAAGCGCACGGTCTTGGCCGCGCCCGACGCGACGAGGTGCTCCGCGAGGAGCAAATCCGTACACAGCTCGAACCCCGCGTTGTCGACGACGAGATCCACGACCCCGCCCCCCTTGGCGCGCATCTGATCTAACAGCTCCAGCACCGCCGGCGTGTCGTCGGCCAGCAGTTGCTTCTGCGACGCGTCGAGCACGCCGTCGAAGGCCTCCGCGGACGCGGCGACGTTCGCGCCCGCGGGCCACAGCGACAGGTCCATGCGGTTCCCCCACAGCGCGATGGAGAGGAAGAGCGCCGACGAGCCCGGGTCCGCCAGCAGCGCGGCGCACCGCTCGCCCAGCGCGTCGAGCGTCGCGCCGGCGGACGCGAGGCCCGCGGCCTTCGACTTGTCGAAGACGTCCGGAGCGTTTGCCGAACCGAACCACGCCGTCGCGGCCGCGACGCGCCGGTAGAGGTAGAACTCCGACAGCAGCCAGGGCGCCGAGAGCCAGGTCTCGCCCGGCGCCTCGGCCAGCAGCGCGTTCCAGGCCTCGACGTCGTCGCCGCCGTCGTCGGCGAGCGGCGCGAGCGGAGCCGCCGCGAGGATCTCCGCGCGGAGCGCGTCGAGCGCGGGCTTCGCGGCGCCGAACCAGGGCGCGTCGCCGTTGTCGCCGTAGACGACGCGGTCGAGGATCTCCTCGACGACGCGCCGCGACATCGTGTCGTAGGCCCAGGTGCCGGGCACGTCGCTGCGCAGCGGCGCCGGCATGGGCGCGAACCTGGGCTCGACCGTCGTGAGAGCGCTTTTCATTGTTGTTACTGCGCGTCGCGTGGCGCGAGGCGTGTGGAAGGCGGTTGCCGCGGCAAGGATGAGGAAGATTTGGCAGCGCCGCGCGCTCATCGCGTACGCGGTGAGCTCGGCGGCGTCGAGGTGCTCTCCCTAGCCGGCTAGCCTGGCGTGTAATCCTAGTCCCGCAACCTCCCGCACGCCGCGCCGCCAGTCCTGAGCTCTCCAGCGACCAAAACCCACACCCGTTTGGGCAGAACATATTTTCGACGTCCTGTTCCTCGAGGAACGTCAACGCGTGGCTCCACGCGAATTCCGGCAGTTCCTGAACGAGCTCGGCAGAGTGACTCTTGCCAGACACCAGCCATAATTATTGACTCTACCTAGTCCGCCCGCGGCGAGAAGACGCGCAGCTCGGGATTCACCAGCGCCGCGATGGCCTGGAGCGGCGCGGGCGTCGTCGCCGGGATGTCGCGGATGTAGGAGATCTTGCCCGCGCCGTCGGACTCGTAGAACGAGATGCCCTTGGGCCCGTCCTGGCCGTTGACTTTCACGATCCACGTGAAGCAGCACGCGCCGCCGTCGACGTCGCCGCCGGAGATCTCCAGGGGCACGAAGTCGATGCCCGGGATGTCGAACGCCTCGACGAACTCCTTCACCGCGGGCTTGCCCAGGAACGGCGCCGGGTAGTTGAAGTCCTCGTAGCGGATGTCCTCGGCGAAGAGCTCCAGCGCCACGGCGGGCGTCGCGCCCTTGGGGTAGGCCTCGTTCCACAGGTAGTCGGCGACGGCGACCGCGCCCGTCGGCGCCCGCGGCTCGTACGTCGCGGGCGTGTCCTCCTTCTCCACGTTCGCCGTCACGGCCTTCAGGAGCGCCTCCGTCGCCTCGCCGGGCTTGAGCAGCGGCTCGCTGCCCTCGCGGACGTAGAGGAGCTTGCCGCCCTCGTCGAAGCGGCAGTACGTCGTGCCGCGGAGGCCGTAGACGCTCGAGTCGCCGACCTTCTCCCGGCGCCAGGTCATGCCGCCCGTCGTCGCGTTGCCCGCCGTCTTCTCCACGGCGATGCGGCACCCCTGGTACTTGGTCGTGAAATACGCGGCGACGGCGGCGGGGCCCTTGAACGTCGACGACGCCATGTCCTCGTAGAGCACGTCGTCGGCGCAGGCCGCGGCGATCTCCGCCGGGTCCACTCCTTCTGCTTTGCCGAGCAACGCCTTCAGCTTCTCGCCGGCGGTCTGCGACGCCGCGGCGCTGGCGCGCGCGCCGCCGACCTGCTTCGCGACGTTTTGCAGCATCTCGCCGAAGTTGAGCGTCTCCACGCGCACGCGCGTGAGCGCCGGCGTCGCCGCGCGCGGCGCGATGAGCGCCGTGGTGCTAAGGCTGCAGAGCGCGAGGATGGCATGCTGGATCGGCATCGTGCTGCGCGTGCCACCGACGGCCGTAGGTGGTGGATGTCGCAACTCCGCGGAGCTATGGGGGGTCTTGCTCCGGCGACGGCGTCCGATGGCCGACGCGTCGGACGCCCGAACGTGCGGTTTTTGGCTAGCGGCCAGGGACGCCCGGTGGCTATACGTGACAAAAACAAGCGCTCGGATTGGGACGAATGGCTAGCCGTTTCGCTGGCTTGAGTACCAAACACGTACGCGCGGGCCGGGAGCGGAGACCTCTGAGCCCAAGCTTCCGACGCACGGCAGCCCGCTCTGGTGGTCGGAGTGGCCTTCCATGACCCCTAGGCGTAAGCCTGACCGTCGGTGCCCCCATCGGAGGTGGTTCTGGCGTCGACCAAATTCCACCGCGCGGGCCTCGTCTCCGCGGGGCTGCCGCGGCGTACAAGTCCGTGCCAGCGAAGCGCGTCACCATCGATGGCGTTGGATACGCCCCTTGGTTTTGGGTGCGACGTCNGTGTGACGGCTGG